GAAACTCCACAACATCAAAACAAACAACCCACTTAAGAGATGGGCCAAGGACCTCAATAGACATTTTTCTTTTTTTTTTTTTTTTTGACAGGTAGAGTGGACAGTGAGAGAGAGAGAGACAGAGAGAAAGGTCTTCCTTTTGCTGTTGGCTCACCCTCCAATGGCCGCCACAGTGCACCACACTAATCCGATGGCAGGAGCCAGGTACTTACCCTAGTCTCCCATGGGGTGCAGGGCCCAAGGACTTGGGCCAACCTCCACTGCACTCCCTGGCCACAGCAGAGAGCTGGCCTGGAAGAGGGGCAACTGGGACAGAATCTGGCACCCCGACCGGGACTAGAACCTGGTGTGCCGGCACCGCAAGGTGGAGGATTAGCCTAGTGAGCCACGGCGCCGGCCCTCAATAGACATTTTTCAAAAGAGGAAATCCAAATGGCCAACAGACACATGAAAAAATGTTCAAGATCACTAGCAATCAGGGAAATGCAAATCAAAACCACAATGAGGTTTCACCTCACCCCGGTTAGAATGGCTCACATGCAGAAATCTACCAACAACAGATGCTGGAGAGGATGTGGGGAAAAAGGGACACTAACCCACTGTTGGTGGGAATGCAAACTGGTCAAGCCACTATGGAAGTCAGTCTGGAGATTCCTCAGAAACCTGAATATAACCCTACCATTCAGCACAGCCATACCACTCCTTGGAATTTACCCAAAGATAATTAATTGGCAAACAAAAAAGCTGTCTGCACCTCAATGTTTATTGCAGCTCAATTCACAATAGTTAAGACCTGGAATCAACCAAAATGCCCATCAACAGTGGACTGGATAAAGAAATTATGGGACATGTACTCTATAGAATACTGTACAGCAGTCAAAAATAGTGAAATCCAGTCATTTGCAACAAAATGGAGGAATCTGGAAAACATCATGCTGAGTGAATTTAGCCAGTCCCAAAGGGACAATTATCATATGTTCTCCCTGATCGGTGACAACTGACTGAACACCAAGAAGGAAACCTGTTGAAGTGAAATGGACACTATCAGAAACAATGACTTGATCAGCCCTTGACCTGACTGTCGAGGGACAACTTACTACTTTATCCCTTTTAGTATTTTTTTTCCTTCTAGTTAATACTGTTAGTTGAACTCTGTAATTAACACACAATTATTCTTAGGTTTTTAAATTTAACTGAAAAGTGATCCCTGTTAAATATAAGAGTGGGAATAAGAGAGGGAGGAGATGTACAGTTTGGGACATGCTCAATCGGACTTGCCCCAAATGGTGGAGTTACAAATGTGCCAGGGGATTCCAGTTCAATCCCATCAAGGTTGCATGTACCAATGCCATCTCACTAGTCCAAGTGATCAATTTCAGTTCACAACTGATCACACTAAGAAGTCTAAGAGTCAAAGGGATCATACAAACAAGACTAGTGTCTGCTAACACTAACTGACGGAATAGAAAAGGGAGAGAACAATCCAACATGGGAAGCGGGATACACAGCAGACTCATAGAATGGCAGATGTCCTAAACAACACTCTGGCCTCAGAATCAGCCCTTAAGGCATTCAGATCTGGCTGAAGAGCCCATGAGAGTATTCTAGGCATGGAAAGGCAAGACACTCTGGCAAAAAAACAAACAAACAAACAAACAAAAACACCTAAATGAAAGATCTCTGTGAGTGAGATCCCAGCGGAAAGAATGGGCCATCAAAGAAGGAGGTACCTTTCTCTGAAGGGAGGAGAAAAGATCCACTTTGACTATGACCTTGTCTGAATAAGATTGAAGTCAGCGAACTCAAAAGGCTTCCATAGCCTTGGCAACTCATGACAAGAGCCTAGGGTGATTACTGAGGCCATAAACAAGAGTGTCAATTTGTTAAGTCAACAACAGGAGTTACTGTGTACTTACTCCTCATTTGGGTTCTCTGTCCTTAATGTGTTGTCCAATGTGAAGTAATGCTATAAGTAGTAACTCAAACAGTATTTTACACTTTATGTTCTGTGTGGGTGCAAACTGATGAAATCTTTACTTAATATATACTAAATCTATCTTCTATATAGAAAGAGCATTGAAAATGAATCTTGATGTGAATGGAATGGAAAAGGGAGCGGGAGATGGGAGGGGTGCGAGTGGGAGGGAAGTTATGGGGGGGAAAGCCATTGTAATCCATAAACTGTATTTTGGAAATTTATATTTACTAAATAAAAGTTTAAAAAATGAGAAAATAAAATAAAGCTTAAAAAAATAATTTCAGGAGGTCTCTATAAAATGTTTATAAAATTATTTTTTTTCGGCCAGCACCGCGGCTCAATAGGCTAATCCTCCGCCTAGCGGCGCCGGCACACAGGGTTCTAGTCCCGGTTGGGGCGCCGGATTCTGTCCCGGTTGCCCCTCTTCCAGGCCAGCTCTCTGCTGTGGCCTGGGAGTGCAGTGGAGGATGGCCCAAGTACTTGGGCCCTGCACCCCATGGGAGACCAGGAGGAAGCACCTGGCTCTTGCCTTTGGATCAGCGCAGTGCACCGGCCGCAGTGCACCGGCCGTGGCGCGCCGGCCGCGGCAGCCACTGGAGGGTGAACCAATGGTAAAGGAAGACCTTTCTCTCTGTCTCTCTCTCTCTCTCTCACTGTCCACTCTGTCTGTCAAAAAAAAAAAAAAATCCAAGCACTTATATTTCAAAGAGAGCATCTTGCTTAACAAGGAAGCATTAGAGGCATGGCACAGAGATTAGAAACAAGATAATAATATTCACTATCTCCAGTACTATTAAATGTATTTACTAAGTTAATTAGTCAAGATAAAAGTAATTCAGTGCAAAAAAAACAATAAATAAAACAGATAGGAAGAAACAAAACTTTCTCTGTTCATAGATAACATGAGTACAGATTTGGCAACCACAAAAGAATCCATGGAGAAACCATTTCAAACAATAAGGGCTGGTAATAAAGGATCAGCATGGAAAGTAATCAACAGAACTGTTTGGACTGCACAGGCTGTTCATGAAAATCCAATTAAGTGCACTTAGGAAAACACTGCAAGAAGAAGAGCAAGGAGGGGGGTGAGTATAAAACATTAAAACACACAGAAAATACAAAACCTTGGAAACTAAAATATCTGTAGTTTGTGTGGATGCATGAATAGATGGACAACTTGGAAGAGAATAGGATACAGGAATGAGATACAAATGCATACAGAAATTTAGCATACAAACAAGGAAAAAAAATGGACTTTAACAAACAGCATTGTGACAGCTGGACTTCAATATGGTGAAAATGAAAAGTAAATATTCTACACATACTGTATACTTGAAGAAATTCCAAAATGATCAGAGTCAGAAAAGAAGAAAACTTTAAAAAATATGCTGAATAATAAGTGTGTGTGTGCATGTGTGTGACAACGGACTGATACTCCTAATAATAACTTTCTTAAAAATGGAGAATTGCTGTACAATGAATTACCTAAAACTTATAAAATAATTTAGAATAAAAGAAATTGAAATGGTCCTCAGACATATTAAAAGTTGTTAAACTGTTCTACAATAACTGCCATGCAAATTCAACTATATTAAGATCTTGTTTCTCACATATTAGGTGAAAAAAATCTAAAAGCTTGACATCATGAGAAAGCAGGCACTATTATGGTTTAATGATGAAAATGTAAAATGCAACAACCCTTATGCAGGAAAATTTGGAAGCATCTATTGAAATCATGTGATTTCCTGTTCTCCTTGATCCAGCAATTCCTACTCTGAGAATCCATCACTGAGATATATTTGCAAAAGTACAGAATTATGCTTGTGCAAATTATTTTCTTTATGAATTATTCATATTTGAAAAGCACTAAAACAAATTTAAAAAGATCCACCTGACAAAGGACTGTTTTTGCTGAACCCATACCTAAGCCTTCAGCAGTGCAATGCAGTTTCCTTAAGGCAGCTGTTGCTGGTTGATGGTTAGACCATGACTTCTGCAGGCCTGAACTCACTGCTCAGTCTCACTTCTTAATACATTAAGGTATCTGTCAGAGGCATAGTTGTGGGGTAAAAAGTTATAATACACAAGGTATTCTACACATCTGCATATGCTGGCACAAGTATTACGGGCAAAGAAGGTGAATCTATGCCAAAGTTCCATGTCAACAAGGACCAATGCAATCCCCTCTATGATAGCAAGGGTTTTGTGTAATCAGTCTTCACCAGTGAAATGATTACAGTCTAGCAGGGCATAGGGCCATATCTGCCTTTGTCTTTTTGGTAGTAAAGACCATCAGATCAGCTTTAAAGAGGAAAGACCAAATTTCTTCTGTCATTCAGCCCATTGAACAGGCTCCTTTGTGGCTAGGGAAAGATGCCAACTGATACTTGCACACTGATCTATGCCAATGATTGCCAATTCACTGTGGATACCATATTAGAGAAATATATGTAGGACATGTCTATTCTCCACACTCTGTGTCCTTCCTACTAAGTCCATCCTCAAGTCGATTGCACAACTTGCTAGAAATTGCCCATGAATTAGTGTTGACCTTGACTTCAGTTTTTTTTGTTTGTTTGTTTGTTTTTACACAAAGTGACTATTACATCTACCACCAATATTCTACCCAATGGTAGAATTGTTCTTCAAGTACATCTTCAAACTCTTTGTAAGGCCATAGTGTAGAAGACAGCTACTTCTGTCTGATCTGGCCTCTGTACATACCCATTTACTTATAAATCAAGCCTTTGTATTTTCTTTCTTTTTCAACTGGTCATATAGAACTTCCCAAGAAATTACATGTGCAAGGAAACCACAGAATTACCCTCCTTAGGCCTGAAAGGGGAGGGAAAGGGAGTGGTTTTTGGAATGTAGCAACAGGGAACCAATGTTTCCAATTAGGATTGTATTTGAAATTTATTATTTGTAGCTTTCCACTGCGGATCACTTGCTCATGAAAACCTACATCCACCCAAAGACTTGCACACTAATGTTCATAACTGATTTATTAATGAGTTCCTACCTGGAAACAACACAATGTCAATCAACAGGATAAAAAAAGCTGGCAAGTGTTCTTCAACGGTAGGAGCCTGTGGAATCAAATCCATGATTGAGTCCAAGGTTAATCTAAAGTCCTACCCCCTTGCAGACACCCACTTCACTGAGCAACCCCTGGCCCTAGTTCAGCAGCTTCTGAAAGGAGCCAATGGGACCACCAAAACCCCAAGTGGGGACATCTCTGAGTTTATTGTGAAGGCTGCAGATGCCGAGCTGCTGGAACATCGTGCACTTCCTGCTGCTGTGTGAAGACAAGAACATGCCTTATGTGTTTGTTCGCACTAAGCAGGCTCTGGTGCAGGCCTGGGGGGAGTCTTCAGGCCTGGCATTGCTTGTTCTGCCACCAGAACAAAGAAGGCTCACAAGGAAAGCAGGAGAGTCTGTCCATTCAGCAGTCAATTGAAAGGTTCTTAGTATATACCTGTGCCTTCTGCCACAGCCTCCATGCTGAATCCTCCCTGAGGTTGTGTATCAAACTGTCTTTGGTAGTGCATAGTATTTTAAGCTGCCTTCTATTATTATTAAATAATATTATTAAAATATTGTAGTATTAAAGTTCATCTCTGGAGTTTCATATTTGGATTTGGGGTTGTTTTCCTCCATCTTCTCTTCCACCCTTTCTCTTTGCCATCATTTTATTCCCCTTGTGAATAATGAACCGAAGCACAAAACACATGGAGGCAGCAGTTAAAGGTAGGAACAGCCAGAAGAAACCTGACTGAGTCAGGAAAGAGATCAAGTTCCAGCTTTCATCCTCTGACCTCCCACTGTGTGCAGGGCATGACAGGAGTAAACACTGGCCACTCTGTGCCCCTTGTGCCTGGCATACAGAATCAGCAGATACTTACTAAAATGAGTGAGGGGTTTCCCTTTGCTTTCTAGGGGATTGTGGACCAACTGGGGAGAAAGCACACATTCTCTGAGGTTGTTAAACGTATGCCCAAATGTTATTTACCAATGTACCACTGCTGATGGCTTTTGATGTGATGTGCTGTTAGTCCAACTTGACTGCCCCTGAGGGTGGCATGGAATTCCACAGGCAGCTGGCTGAGTGAAGCAAGGCAGTTGATCTAGGTCATGAAAGAGTCATGAGCGGCAAAGGCTCAGAGGGTCAGGAAGTTCTGGAATGAAAGATTCTGGGAAGATCATGGAGAATAGCTGGAAGCCATAGTGTAGATGACAGAATCCAGGGAAACACCCTTTCTCTGGTGAAAGGTGATGTCTTCAGTGGACACTTGGTACCAGCTGTGAGGGCTCTTACCCTGTCTCCTGCCACAATGTGGGTCAAATGGATTCTTTATCACATGAGGTTGCGAATGTGTTTTTCATTCTTGTGAGCAACATAATAAAAATATATTCATATTTTAAATTTTAAAAAATTGTGGCATCCTCAAACAGGAACGCACACCTCAGCAATACAGAGGAACATCCAGCTTGTACTTGCCACAGCATAGGGGAATCTCAAAACCCTTAGGCTGAATGAAGACAGTCAGAAAAATAGATAAATTAGAACTGAATTTGTATGAAATTCCAGGAAAGATGAATCTCATGAATAGGAACAGAGTGTTCATCAGCGATGCCTAGGATCTGGGATGGAATTATACTCTCTTACCTGAAGTTTACCTATTTACCAGTTTCTTGATTTGTATACCATTAATATGATGTATTTTAATTTTATACATATTTCAATAGCCTGGTATTTTACAATTATTATTTTCATAGTTAATAGTCTCTTAGATTTAACCAAATGGTTAACTGGAAGGATTTCATTTTTCTCCTCCCTCCTTTTCTACTTTCCTTCTATGCCATGGCTTTTGCTGGAATCACTGGGTTCTCTGTTTCTTTGTACTGCCAGTTATTGCTTGCTTTCCTGTATCTTGCTTGGGGAAAGGATGTTTTTCATTGTTTTCGACTTCATGTGTTGTTTGTCAAGTAAACACGCCCCTGAACTAGGTTAAAGCTAAACCTACTCCTGGATGTTGGGGCCCAGTGTTATGCGGGTGAACAACTACAGTCTCATAGATATTTCCCATAAACTCTACTGAACTCCACAACACTGCAGATAAGAAAGAAATTAATTACTGCACATACCACCTTACATTAATGTGGCCTAATTATGTTAGTGTCTTCCTCTGGGCAGTGAATTCCTCAAGTGTGGCATATGATCTGGAAAATTTTGCATACACAGTGAGCAGCATAGTTACTATGATATAGTAGGGGTTGAAAATAGATTTGTTTTATTGAAACACATTTTACAGGATTTGTCTCGCGTCTGTATAATTAAACCAAGAATTCTAAAATTGAAATGAGCTTTGAAAAATGGTGCAATATAAACAGATTTAATTTCTAAATTTTACTATTGAACTTACTGTACTCCTGTATTGTTCAACTAATTGCCCATTTACAATCAGCAGTATTTTATTTTCAGAGTTACTCTTAGGTAATAATTATTTTTGGTTGTGTGTTGGATAGCTTCACATATTAAGATTCTACCACACACAAAAAAAAATCGGTCGCCCTATAGTGGCTATAGCTCTGTTTTGCAAAAATGTAGCCTGTACCAACCAGAGCAAAGGACCCAGGTGAACACACAATTGCCTTTCTCCTAACAGTCTTTGAACTCCTGTTGGTGATGCTCATTTGCTGTTTGAGATCCTGATGCTGATTCAAAACTAGTAAGAGTTTGTGTCATTAACCTAGATCCTTATTACCAACAACAAAAATGATCACTGTAGCAAAAATCTTGTTATTTGTAGCAACATGAGTGTGGGACTAGAGGTTGTCATGTTAAGTGAAATAAGTCAAACCCAGAAATATAAGTACTACATGATCTCATGCATGTGCAGAAGACAGAAAAGTTGATTTCATAGAAGTTGACAGTATAATGTTGGTTACCAGACACTGGAAACGTAGAGAGGGAGTGAGGGATGAGGAAAGGTTGATTAAGAGAAACTAAGTCATGGCTAGATAGGAGTAAGTAGTTCTGGGGTTCTATTGCATGATAGTGGGATTACAGGAATGAAAATGTATTCAGTATTTTCCAAAAATGATAAGGATTTTTAAAAATGTTTTCACCAAAATGAAATCTTAAATAGTTTTTTTTAACCCTGATTGGACATTGTGCAATATACAAATGTGTAGGAACATCACATGGCACCCCATAAACACATACAACTTTGTGTGCCAGTTAAAAAATAACAGAAAAATTTTAAAAATTCATCTATAACAGATAAAGGTGAGAGAAGGAGGTAAGTGTTACAGGCCACAAGAATAGAACAGATCAAACATTCATGGAACAGCACCATTATAGGATCAAATAAGGTCCTATAATTTGGACCAAATAAGGTCCAAATAAGGAAGAGGACAAAGAGCTTCGTCAGGAAGTATGACAAAGAAGGGAGAGGCTTGGCTCAGACATGTGGACTGAGGGAAGAGGTAAGAGGGGAGGGTGACTCTACACCTGTATCTTCGTGGATAAGATGAAGCCTTACTTCTGTCATTTGGAAAGTCCAGGTAGGGAAGATCAATTACAAATGTAGTCATTGTGGTTCAAAGTTCCAGACCCCTTTTACTTCTCATGTTAACCCTTTTCTGAGGGGACTTAAGTCAATAACAGCCACAGTATAATAGTTTCCTTAGCATAATTTCCCAGGAATAGTAAATTCAGTTACTTTTCATATTGTACCAACTAATGTGCCACTAATAATATCATAAGGAAACAAATTTCACTGAAATCTCACCAGCATTATGGATTATTTGTAGAAAATTTAGATGGCTTTTATTTACACTTAAGATTACTTACAACTTTAGGTTGTTCAACCTACCTGCTACATTTAACATACAACTTATAGAATTTTGGAAAACAGAGCAAGAACAATCTGGAAGCATTATTTACATTTGTCCTAGGCCTTGAGCTTCTTTTCCATTAAAAGGAACACGAAAGAAGGATGAAATCCATCAAAGTGAGCTAACAGACAAAACGGGCAAGTTTTACCTATATCCAAACATACAGGATGAGGTAGAAAAATAAGAGGAGGTGGCAAGGCCATTAGTGGTGCCTCACCTGCAGTTCAGCACAGCACTGGATGATTGCTAAAGTCAGGGGACAGGAAAGCAAGAGGGAAGGAACAGGGAGCAGAATGAGGAGTACACAGAGGGTCTGAGTACGAAGCTGACCGCTGACTGGCCACTGTAGAGAGATGGGGTTGTAGGGTTCAGGCCCTGGTTTGCAACACTGTTGTAGTTTGAATACCTTAAGGTTCACATCCTGTGGTGTACTGATCAATAAACCCAACATCCATTTATGATAAAACTTTGAAAAAATTAGGGATGGTAGTCGTGCACTTCGACACAATAAGCCTACCCAGGAAAATCCCATAGCCAACAACACACTGATGGGAAAAACTGACAGCATTTCCTCCAAGATCTAGAACCAGACAAGGAAGTTCACTCTCATGGCTCTTTTTTTTTTTTTTTTTTTTTGACAGGCAGAGTGGACAGTGAGAGACAGACAGAGAGAAAGGTCTTCCTTTGCCATTGGTTCACCCTCCAATGGCCGCCGCGGCCGGAGCGCTGAGGCCAGTGCACTGCGCTGATCCGAAACCGGGAGCCAGGTGCTTCTCCTGGTCTCCCATTGGGGTGCAGGGTCCAAGCACTTGGGCCATCCTCCACGGCACTCCCTGGCCACAGCAGAGAGCTGGCCTGGAAGAGGGGCAACCGGGACAGAATCCAGCGCCCGACCGGGACTAGAACCCGGTGTGCCGGCGCTGCTAGGCGGAGGATTAGCCTAGTGAGCCGCGGCGCCGCCTCTCATGGCTCTTAATATAGTACTGGAAGTTTTAGATCAATGAGGAGAAATAAATTAAAGGCACAGAGATAGGAGGAAGTCAAGTAGTCTGTGTATGTAAATAACATGATTCTAAATAAAGAAAGACCTACAGACTCCACCAAAAGACTAATAACCAATAATAACCAACTTTAATAACAGTGCATCACACTAACAAGAAAACATTTACATTTTTATTCATTAATGATGAATTAGTTGAGATAGAGAGTATATAAGCAATCCCATTCACAAAAGCTACAAAAACCTACTGTGTAATCAATTCAACCAAGGATGTGAAAGACTTCCACAAGAAAACTACAAGCAACTAATGAAAAAAATTGAAGACACACACACAAAACACACACACACATACATATAAGCAGTCTATGTTCATGGACTGAAGCATTAATATGAAAATATCAATACCACCCAAGGCAATTTCCATCAAAATACCAGGAACATTCTTCAAAAAACTGGAAAATACAATCCTAAAATTCACATGGAAGCCAGAAGGACACAAAGTTTGTGTGGACCTTTGCTGGAGGGCAGATTCACTTTGAAAACCCCCTCTAGTTATTTCATTAATCTGAATCCCAGCAGTTCACGCAGGATTTTTTCCAAAGGCGACTTTGAGCAGAAGTAACAAGACTGGTGAAGAGAAATGTCAACCACAGACTCATGTTTCAAGACTCATTTGAAAAGCCTGGCAGGACTCAAACCCAGAGTCCTTAGCGGGCCTTGAACTATCATCTTTCAGTGAGCAAATGAGGGAACGAATGATTTCCCAGCCGGCACAGACCTTGCGCCTCCATGCACCTTCTCCTGCCCCCAGGCTGCAGCACCCCGGGGCCCTGCGCCTCCTCCAACCCCGCAGCTCCGGGAGACACGGAGGACAGGGCTCCTAGGGACACGTCTCCAGCTCCTGTCCGGGGCAACCAAACCCTGACAGATCTCGAAGCTCGCGAGTTGAAGGACGCTCACGCCCACGCGCAGAAGGAAACCATCATTCCTGTGAGAGGCTGGACAGACGAAGGCAGCATTTCCTACCGCCCGATCCACGCAGGGTGTCCTGAGACTCCTCTCCCGGCGGGGCGGCCAAGGCTTGGCTACCCGGGCTTGCACCGCCGGCCTGGGCGCATGCGCCGGGCCTTGGCGCGTCTTCCAGCCCCTGCACGCGGCCACCGCCCTCCCCTACCTCGCTCTTCCCAGGAAGCTGTGCGCGCCGCTCCCTCGTCTTCCTCCCTCTGAGCGTCAGTTCTGAGGCCGGGACGGCGCTCTGCCCTCCGGAAACGCTGTTCCTCAGCGCCATCCCGCCAAGCCGCCTCCGCTCCTGGGCCCGGCGTGGTGTTGGCTCTCGGCGGCTTCTCCCTTGAGCTGGTGTCCCCAGCAATGGCTTCAAGGGCTCCAGGCCGCCGACATCCTCCAGGGTGAAGGCAGGGCTGAGGGCGTCCCTGTGCGGTCGGTGCGCGCGGCCTCGGCCGCCTGAGGGACCGCGGCGCTGAGGCGCGGCTGGGCGGGGCCTGCGCGGATGACAAACGAGGGGCGTGGCCTCTGCCCACGTGGCCTTCCCGCCGTTTGAGGGCTGCTGTGGAGGCCCCGGCCGGAGTGGGCCCTGGGACTCCCGGGGCCCTGGAACCAAGTCCAGCACCGCCGCCGGACTGGGGCCGGGTTCAGCCTCGCACGGGGCCCGGGACGCAGGCGTGCGGGGTCCTGGAGACCTTGCGGTGCTGTGCGGGAAGTGAGGTTGAGCCTGCGGCACGTGACGCGTGTTCTCGCGCACAAGGACGGACATCCTGACGTGAGGCTGCTCCTCCAGGTGAGGCCATGTGGGTGTCGCACGTCCTGTGTCTGCAGCTTCCGACCGCGTACATGGTGCCGAGTCAGGGAGGCGTTGAGACACTGCATATGGAGACGGACGGGACGAGGCGGCTGAGGAGACCCGAAGGGATGTGACGTGGAGTCAGTGGAGATGAGTGATGTGACGTGACATGACGTGACGTGACGTGAAGTGACGACCCGAGATGCGACGAGACATGCGGCGCTGACCTGGCGTGTGGGGCGGAGGATACAGGATGTGGAAGACAAAAGAGACATGACGTAATGTGGGGGCAGAGGAAACGTGACCTGACATTGAGGTGGAGTGGAGACACAGTGTGAGGGTTGAAGACGGGACGTGGGGGTGGAGTGGAGACGCGGTGTGAGGGGTGAAGACAGGACGTGGGGGTGGAGAGGAGACGCGGTGCGAGGTGTGGTGCAGGGGAGTCCTAATGTGAGGTCAGAGTTGAGAGGTGACGTCATATGCGGGGCCAGGGATGAAACCGGGGTGGGGGCGGGGAGAGGGGTGCAGGGGAAAGGGATGGGACCTATGGGCAGGGGGGATGGGCGCTCTCTCTGTGGTTTGGGTCCAGGAGCACATGAAGCCATGGTGGTGTCTAGAGCTGGGACGGAAGCCCACTCATGGCAGGGGTGCTACTGGTTTCTGGGCCACAGACATGAGCGGTGTTGGCCTTGCAGGGGGGGAGTCTGTGGCATGGGCATCGTCACGACGGCAGTAGCACCAGTGTCTGGGGCAGGCGTGTGGTGGTGCTGGGATGGAGGTGGGTCTGTGATGGCTCCCCCATGAGCTCTGGGGCTCCTACTGCTGGGGTAAGCATTAATGGAGACTGCAGAAGTCCTCAGTGGTGAAAGCTCATCTCCTTTCCCCCATGGATGGAGGCCATGGTCAAATGGATCCTTCTTGGTGCTCACCTGTGCCAGTCTGAGCGATAGGTAACATCAGCAAAATACATTCTGTTCTGCACTTAAAGAAATAAAAAAGATAGTGTGTAGAGTTTATTTCCCCTCTTTGGGATGCTATGCTACCCTGGGCTTCCACCATCCATTCCTTCCTTCTTGTTATCCTGATCCTGCTTTCCACATTGACTGCACACTCCAGGTTCTCTCTGGCACAGCCCTTGAGGCTGCCGCAGCTTGAGGGGAGAAGCAACCTTGGCTGTGTGCAGGGTCCTTTATGACTGCTGCTTATTGGTGCTTATTTGCTGTTGCTGTCAGATAATGTTGTATTCTTAGCAGATACTGTGTATGTGTGTGTATTTGTGTTTGGGTGAGCACACACTTGGAGTATGTGTATGCACCATACCATGAATTTGTGTTTGAGATGACTTTTGGGAACACCTTAAAATTAGAATGTGAAAATCGTAGGCTGTAGGTTCTGACCCATTTCTGTATGTATTTTCTCTAAATTTGCTGGACTCTGTCAGAAGCCACCAACCACTGTTATCTGCTTTTGAGCCTAATTTTCAAATGTCTCAGAGATACCTGGAATGCTCTAGTAGCCCCGCCTTCCAGGAACTGCCCTCAATTCAGAATACGTGGAATGCTGGCAAATGTGCTTCTCCTCCCGGCTCACTACACCTGCTTCTTGCAACGCTTCAACAATTAGGGTGCTTCTGTTGCTCCCTGGAAAGTATTCATATTGGGGTTCAAGCTCTAGAGTGCCAAAGGATCCTGTATCCATAGAGGCACTGCTGTCAGTGGAGGGACATCAGGTCAGGTCTGTGGTTGCCAGGACAGTCTGCATAGGGAGCTTCATCCAGTCCCAGCGCTGTCACTGATTGGCTGGGACCAGAAATCATCTTTGCTACTTCCTCTGTCCTATACTTCCCCGTGTTTTGTGTGGACATAGGGATCCTCACACCCCATTTGCAGTGTAGATCGATATAACCCACTACACATTTTGTTATGGTATAATCTGCACTGGCATAAAATTTTTTCTTTAGCAGTGTAAAAGAGTATGCAGAAAGGTCCATAAAACATAAATATCACGCTTCTCTGGCCTCAGAATCAGCCCTTAAGGCATTCAGATCTGGCTAAAAAGCCCATGAGAGTATTCTAGGCATGGAAAGCCAAGACACTGTGGCAAAAAAACAAAAAACAAAAAACACAAAACAAAAAACACAAAACCTAAATGAAAGATCTCTGTGAGTGAGATTCCAGTGGAAAGAACGGGCCATCAAAGAAGGAGGTACCTTTCTCTCAAGGGAGGAGAGAACTTCCACTTTGATTATGACCTTGTCTAAATAAGGTCGGAGTTTGTGAACTCAAGAGGCTTCCATAGCCTTGGCAGCTCTAGACAAGAGTCTCAGGTAATTATTGAAGTTTAAATAAGAGTGTCAGTTGTTAAATCAACAACAGGAGTCTCTGTGCACTTACTCGCTATGTAGGATCTCTGTCCTTAATGTGTTGTACTATGTGAATTAATGGTAAAACTAGTATTCAAACAGTACTTTATACTTTGTCTGTGTGAGTGCAAACTGGGAAATCTTTACTTAGTATATACCAAGTTGATCTTCTGTATATAAAGATAATTAAAAATGAAGCTTAATGAAGAATGGGATGGGAGAGGGATTAGGAGATGGGGTGGTTTGTGGGTGGGAGGGAGTTATGGGGGAAAAAAACCACTATAATCCAAAAGTTGTACTTTGGAAATTTATATTTATTAAATAAAATTAAAAAATTAAAAAACATATCATGCTTAACAGGTTACTACAAATTAACATATCCACTACTTATATTAATATCTAGAATACAGATAGCTTCCAGAAGCTTCCTAGATAGCCTTTCCTGTCCTACTATCCTGTCTTCCTGTCCAGAGCACTTACCATGATCTTTCACTATGTTCTATTTTTCTTATAGGTTATAATTTTCTTCTTCTTGTGTGCTCCTCTAACAGGCCTGGGTTTTAATCACTCAGGATTCATTTTCCTATACCTGGTGGCTTCCTTCACTAAGACTTAGTGACTTGGTAGTGATCAGTCACTTATCTGGTGCCAATGAAACAAAACACAATATGTCTTCCCATTCTGTGATTCAATATCTTTTTCTATCCTTTTACTTTCAGTCTGGGTCGCCTATCTTTGTTGGTGAGGTATGTTTCTTGTAGGCAGCAAATAGATGGGTCTAAATTTTTAATGCATTTAGCCAGCCTTTATCTTTTAATTGGAGAGTTTAGGGCATTTATGTTCAAGGTTACTATTGATAAGTAATGACTTGGCCCTGTCATTTTTCTGTAAATATTCCTATTGTTTGCTGTGGATTTCCTTTGTAGTTTTACTGTGAGATTTTCTGCCTTCACCTTCTTACATGGTGATGATCATGTTTCTGTGTGTAGCACATCCTTAAGCATCTTTAGTAAGGCTGGACGAGTGGTGACAAATTCTTTCAATTTCTTTTTTTTCTTTTCTTTCTGTCTTTTTTATTTGACAGGTAGAGTTATAGACAGAGAGAGAGACAGAGAGAAAGGTCTTCCTTCCATTGGTTCACTCCCCAAATGGCCTTACGGCCAGAGCTGCGCCGATCCGAAGCTAGGAGCCAAGTGCTTCTTCCTGGTCTCCCAAGTGGGTGCAGGGGCCCAAGCACTTGGGCCGTCTTCCACTGCCCTCCCGGGCCACAGCAGAAAGCTGGACTGGAGGAGGAGCAACAGGGACTAGAACCCAGCACGCATAATGGATGCTGGTGCTGCAGGTGGAGGATTAACCAAATGAGCCAAGGTGCAGGCCCCTCTTTCAATTTCTTTTATTATGGCCGGTCTTTATTTACTTTTCATTCATAAATGAGTGCTTTTCAGGTTATGGTGTTCTGGGTTGACAGTTTGTCTCTTACTACTTGGACTGTGTCTTTCCATTCTCTCATAGCCTGTTGAGTTTCTTTTAAGAAATCAGCAGTGAGCCTAATTGATAATCTGGTGTTTCTCTCTTGCAGATTTTAGAACCTTTTCATTATGTTTTGGTGCTGAAAGTTTGACTACAATGTGTTGTGATGAAGATCCTTTCTGGTCATGCCTATAAGGAGTTTTATGTGCCTCAGGTACTTAGATGTCCCTTTCCTTCTCCAAATTGGTGAAATTTTCTGTAATTATTTCAGTGAATAGGCCTTCTAATCTATTCTATCTTTCCACACCTTCAGGAACTGCTAAGACCCGTATGTTTGGTCACTTGACAGTATACCTTAAATCTCCAACTTTTATAATTTTTCTAATTTCTTCTCCATTTTTTTGTTCTGATTAAAAACTTTACAAAAATTTGTCTTCTAGCTTTGATGGTCTTTCTTTTGTTCACCATGTATGTTGTTAAGGTTTTCCAATGTATTTTTTATTTGACATGTTGAATTCTTCATTTCTAATATTTCATTTTGATTTCTCTTCAGAATCTCAGTTTCACGGGATAATTTCTCATTCATGCTATGTATGGATTTCTTTAATTTGTGGATTTGCTTCTGAGTAATCCTATGATTAATCTTTTAAATTACATTTCAGTGATTTCCTCAATCTCTTCATCTTCACATTCTAATATTGAAGTGCTATGTTCCTTGGTGGCAGGGGGAAGGAGGCAAGTTGTGTTCCTTTTTCTTGTTTCTAGAATTTCTGTGTTTATTTTTAGGCATTTGTGAAAATATTTATTGTTTTTTTCCTTATGTCTTTTATCTTTGAACTTGTCTCTGTGGCTTAGTGGGGTGTCTGCTCTTTCTGTGAATACTCTGAGGTTTGTGCTGGGTATCTTGGGAGCTCTAATCAGTGCTCCAGGGTGGGGCATGTCTCCAGGGTAATACCCAAGGTGGGCATGGTAGATATCTTCCTTTTAGCAAAGGGGATTTGTTGGCGTAATCACACCCTCACTTCCTCTCTTCCAAGGTGATCAGTGCTCGGGTGTTAGCCCACAATGGGTGTAATACTCTTCTGTGCTGAGTTATAAACAGCACGAAGGATCTGTGTAGTCCTCAGCATAGGCATGGATCCCATTGCAGTGACCCATCCCAGGT